CTGACACCAAGTGATTCCCACCTGTTTCCTAAACTGAAAGAATACCTTCGTGGAAAGCGCTATGACGACAACGATGACCTCAAAGCTGCCGTGAATGGGTTTTTCAGGGTGGCTTCAGAAAATTTATTCCTGACTGGAATTGAAAATCTTCACAAAAAAATCTTATTGAAAAGCAGGGAGATTACGTTGAAGAATAAAATTAAAAACACTTTCACAATTGTTTGTTTTGTTTGTTTGTTAGGCTTAAAACTTCATGACCAGCCCTCGTATGGACTAGCGATGCAGCGTCTACAACGCGCGGAGCGTCTGCAGGCTATTGGCATGCAGGAAACTGGCAGAAGTCAGCGTGCGGTGGCCATTATGTTCAGTATTTCAGTCTGTGATTAGACGACTATAGAACACGTACCAACAAATCCAAGAGGGCGTCCAAGGTCAACGACAAGAGTACAGGGTCGATTGATCCGAAACTAGGCTCTACGAAATCGACCTCAAACGGCGAACCAAATTGCTGCAAACTTCCATCAAGCTGCTGGAATACGAGTTACGTGTACATGTAGCTCATCTCCATGCTCGACGGCCACGTGTTGTGCCGCCCCTTGCAGATCGTCAGTATTGCCAACAGACGTCAATGGTGTATGCAACGTCGAAACTGGGTAATCGTCGCTGGTCACGTGACATGCTTTCAGATGAGTCCCGATTCACTTTGCACTTCCTTGATAGGCGTGGTCGTGTTTGGCGACGTTGATATGTCAAGCCAATGTCAACCTGAGTCCTCGTGACAGATTTGGCGGTGGATCGGTTATGGTGTGGGTGGCATCACTATTGCTGAGCGTACCATACTCCATATTGTGCAAGGCATGCTAGCTGGAATAACACGTGTTGGCAGGGAATATACAGTAGGAGACCTGTCAGCGGGGAATGGAGTGTATGAGACGTGTAGGCAGGGAACATACAGTATGAAACGTGTAGGCAGCGAACATACAGTATGAAACGTGTAGGCAGGGAACATACAGTATGAGACGTGTAGGCAGCGAACATACAGTATGAGACGTGTAGGCAGCGAACATACAGTATGAGACGTGTAGGCAGCGACATACAGTATGAGACGTGTAGGCAGCGAACATACAGTATGAGACGTGTAGGCAGCGAACATACTGTATGAAACGTGTTGGCAGGCATCATGCAGTTTGATACCAGTGAGTTAAGAGTGGCAATATTTAAGCCATATTAGACGAATTTATATATCAATAATAAAAACATTTTGACTATGTAAAAACCGGTCAACAAAAGACAGTAAAACAAACTAGATTATCACAGATATGTATATAAAACTAATATCGACCTATAAAAAGATGTAACGATACATAACAAGAACATGATAAAAACGGGCTTTTGATCGCCACCCTTGAAGGTAGATCACCATCCTGGGGACCATGGGCACTAACAGTACCTTTGCTACCTACATGGACCAAAGCAGAAAAGAAACCTTATCCTCAGTCGCTGGAGATTGTCCGCATTTTTAGCCAAGATTATAACAACAAATATTCTACGTCTACAAGACCTTGATGGTGGATAGAATCTAAACTTCTAAGATTGCTTTTGCAGGCTCCACCATAGATGATGGAGCCTTAATCGAGCTAAGAATAGATGAGTGATCTACACAAGTGAAGAAGGGCTGTCTGGCCCCCTCCCCACTTGTAATTAGAAACATTAGATAGACCCAGACCATTCAGACAATTAGCTTTAAGATATTAAATATGTGGTAAGAAAGTGGAGATTAAAAATTGTTCCTATAAACTTAGCTTCCTTTGAACTTTACTTGATGTGCCCGCTAGATGTAAAACAGATAGGTTTTTTTATTTAGGAAAATATAAAGCCATTACGTTCTGACCAATCCTTGATATGGCTGAGACAAAGCTGCAGCTGTCTCTCAATCGTGTGCATATGTTTACCTCAACATGATACATTAAAATCATCAACAAATAATAACCCATCAACAATCACTTAAGAACTTAGATAAACTATTTATTTTGATATTTAACTACGTTACTGATAATATGCTACCTTGTGGGACACCTTGATCGCGATCATGAATATCTATATAAGGTAGAACCCACACGAACCTGGAATGCCTATATGATAAAAATTGTGATATAAAATTATGTCCTTTCAATCCCGTCTCGTGAAGATCTTTTAAAAAGGTGTCATAAACATTTTCTAATTCGAAAAATATCGATAGGACATGTTGATTTTTAATTAATATATAATTTTTCACAAATGTCTCCAATCTAATCAAATGGTCAACAGTACTTCTATTTTTCCTAAAACCACATTGAATATTTGTCATAAGATTATATGTTTCAAAGTACCATATTAACCTGTTATTGACCATTCTTTCCATTGTCTAACAAACACAGCTAGTAAGTGATATTGGCCTATAATTAGATGGATTAGTATGATCCCGACTAATTGAAGGGAAATTTCAAGAAGTCCATATATTGTCAAAGAGACTTAACAGTACTTCGAGACACGTGTCAGGTAAATGTTTTAGTAGCTATTAAAGGATATTATCAGCCCTCGAGCAGTATCACGTGCTTGCCCTAAAGCAGTGTGCGGTTCCTGTAGGGAGAAAAGTTCATTATGGTCTTCACCATTGTCAGAATTAAAATACACTTTCCTTTTTTATGTTGTTGTTTACATTTCTGGAATTTCGATGTATAATGTGATGAGGAAGAATGGTTAGCTGATGATTCTCCGAGTCTATTTGCTATATCAGATTATCTGTTAGTAATGTGTCGCCTTCCTTCAGATGGTGGACACTAAATCTTCCTTTACGTTGTTGTACCATGTTCCAAACTTTTGACATTGAATTCATTTCAGGTTCATACGTTTGCCAAGAATAAAGTTTAGTTTGCTTAACGACGCGTCGGGCTTTAGCATTTGATATCTTAAATTCGTTTAAATTGTGGACTGTGGGATGTTTGCGGAAATACTCTTCAGCCTTCTTCCTAGCCTTTCTAGCTTGTTTATAGTCATCAATTTACCATGGTTTCCGTATATGTGAATTTGTAGAGGATGTAGGAATACATTCCTCAGCAATTGTCTTTAATGCAGCTGTTTTGAAAGTACTTTTGCATTATGTTTCAAACAAAGCCCAAGTCTAGGTGAAGTAAGGGTCAAAGTGGTGTATTGGGCAAAGGAACGCTATTCCTGGCTCCAGTGCCCTCAACCATGTCTCCCGTCCTCCACCGACACAGAGGCGCAACCCACGGCAAAGAGGTTGCTCAACTCGGTCGCCTCTTACGACAAGCAACAGGATGCAGGGGACACATTCTACCCCGGGTGCCCACGGGGCACTTACAGTATGACACGTGCATGATGCCAATATACAGTATAACACGTATAGCACGATACATGTAGGGTGACCGCATACAGTATGGCACGTATTGGTAGGGAACATACAGTATGAGACGTGTAGAGTGTCAGTATGAGACATGTAGTAGGCTATGAATATGCAGGACGACGTCTTTAGAATAGGAATGTACATTATGTCACGATGTCGTGATGGTAGAGAATGAATGAATGAATGAATGAATGAATGAATGAATGAATGAATGAATGAATGAATCGGGATATATAGTATGACACATGTAATAGGAATGTACATAATGCTACGATGTCGTGATGGTAGATATATAGCATGCCATGTGTAGAATATGAATGTGCAGTGTGTCACGTGTATGTTGGGGATATATAGTATGACACGTGTAATAGGAATGCACTGTATGGCAGTGTATGTTAGGGATACTAGAATATAGTATGACACGTATGTACAGTATGAGACGTGTATGTTGGGAATATATAGTATGACACCGTGTAATGGGAATGTACATTATGCCACGATGTCGTGATGGTAGATATATAACATGACATGTGTAGAATAGGAATGTACAGTATGACGCGTGTATGTTGGGAATATATAAAATAACACGTGTAATAGGCATGTGCAGTATGACACGTGAATGTTAGGGATATAAAATATGACACGTGTGATGGGAATGAACAGTATGACGCGTGTATGTTGGGAATATATAAAATAATACGTATAATAGGCATGTGCAGTATGACACGTGAATGTTAGGGATATAAAGTATGACACGTGTGATAGAAATGTACAGTATGACGCGTGTATGTTGGGAATATATAAAATAACACGTGTAATAGGCATGTGCAGTATGACACGTGTATGTTGAGGATATATAGTATGAAACGTGTAATAGGAATGTGCAGTATGACACGTGTATGTTAGGGATATATAGCATGATGCGTGTCATAGGCATGTGCTGTATGACATGTGTATGTTGGGATACATAGTATGACATGTCTACTAGGAATGTGCAGTTATGACACGTGGGGATATATAGCACACCACGTGTAATAGGAGTGTGCAGTATGACACGTGTGTGATAGGGATATGTAGCATGACACGTGTAATAGGTATGTGCAGTATGACACGTGAATGTTAGGGATATAAAGTATGACACGTGTGATAGGAATGTACAGTATGACACGTGTATGTTGGGGATATATAAAATGACACGTGTAATAGGCATGTGCTGTATGACACATATATTTGGGGATATATAAAATGACACGTGTAATAGGCGTGTGCAGTATGACACGTATATGTTGGGGATAAATTAAATGACGCGTGTAATAGGAATCTGCAGAATGACACGTGAATGTTGGGGATATATTGTATGACATGTGTAATAGGAATGTACAGTTTGACGGCTTGACCGCCCTTGATTGTAATTACCATGGTGACTATATCAGTGATTGTTTATAATTTCTGTAGTAGTGGTTGTGTACTTTACCACTGATTTACATGACGGTAGCCGGCTGGCGCTATCATATTCGCAGTTGATACCGATACAGGACGTGGATCGACAGTGCTGTCACGCCCACCTGATCAAATCTACCGCCATGTCATAGGTTAAGGTCATCAAAATGGCTTCCACTAGTTGGCCCGTCGGTGCGAGGGATCGACTGCGGACTGATGAGAGTGGCACGGCCGACACTGAGGAGAGGGTAGGTTACTCTCACTGTCACTTACTCCAACACCAACCATTTCATCTTGTTAGTCCTATGTGTTTTCACCGTCAATTCATGAAGTATCGAGTTATGCCAGCACCCAAACGGCACGCCCCCTTGACTTCTGACCTACTTGGTAGGATGTCGTCTGCATCTGTAATCAATGAACACTGATATCATAACCATAGCTGATTTATATTAATTAAAACCGAGTTTACAAACTCGTGGGTAGCAAAGTCTTCCGAGGCTATGTTTCATGATTATTTCCGGTTTTCTAGACATATAATTGAATTATCTTTACAGTACAAATCCTGCCTGATTGCCGTTGTCTATGTTAAGGTATTGGAGTTACGATCACCTTAGTGATAAGATCGCTTTGTACAACGGCACCGTGGACATATAGGGAAACGAGTGCACTTAGATGTCTGCTTGGTTTTTAGGGCATTGATTAGGTGTGAAATGTTCTTTTGTTCGTTCTATTGTTCAACGCCACACTCAGCAGTGTGCCAGCGATATGACGGCGGTCTATAAATAATCGAGTAATGTCAACATAATTAACTGAAAAGAGTGAATTGCCTTTATCATACTAAAAATAATTATCTAAAAGCATAGAACTGTTTAATAGTTTATTCAAATACAATACGCTCAAATGGGATTCGCTTTGAACTAGGTGCAATCATGTCGCTAAATGTAACAGAGGGAATCTAATGTAAACACTAAAAAAGCATTTCGGCAGCTTACAACTCTTGTAAACAGTAATCTTTATGTAACTTAACGATAAACGATATTAGAAAGAGTGCTTCGAAATAATTGGTTTAATGTGCTGTAATATGTGGTTTAGCCCACGCGGTTATAATTTTTTCGTACAAACATACAAACCCACTCATCGAAATTATTTCATATTGTTTCTAAAATCGGGAGTATGATTAAGACACTTTTGATTAATTATTTCTCTGCTTTAACGTGTTTGTGTTTCAAAACGATTATCATTAGTGTGATATAGTTAGAGTTGATATGAAACGGTACACATGTATAAATGTACATGTGGAATAACATAAGCGACATGTATGCACACAATTAACGCTTATCTATCAATACAGACCCCACTGTTGCCGTCTCGTCAGCCCACCCTCCTGACAAAGGACTTTGAAGTAAGTTTGTTTATTTTCCAGTTAAAACTATACAATTTGTCGATGACAAAAGTCACGTTAATTGACAGGTGTGTTCTTCATTAACGTTTAACACTGACAACCTTTGACTGCTTGGGGGGCGTGGGTGACCCAGTCGTATGTTTGATTGTTTGTTGTTTAACGCCGCTAGCAGCAATATACCAGCTACATGACGGCGGTCTGTGAATAATTGAGTCTGGACCAGATAATCCAGTAATTGACATCTTGAGCATCGATCTACGCGATTGGGATCGATCTGAGGACCCCCTGAGCAGACGTGCGTCCCTTGGACACGCCAGAAACCTATAATTCTGGGTTCGAATACCGGTTCGCCCCGTATATGTTTTTAGGTTCGACAGCATCATATTCGTGCTCGTGGTTTTCAACTAAGTGGTAGATGTCTAAGACCTGCATTACTTCGGGCTTTCCTCCCACGTGAATCTCACACGCCGTGATATAACTGAAAATTTGTTCAAATCGACGTTAAACCTAACTCACTCACTGTGTGTTATTCACGCTAGTGACCTTTGACTCAGGATGTCCGGCGATGATCTTCGAAGATCAGTCTGCTTGTGTAACTGTTATGATTGTATGTGCGCTTCAGAGGAATAGTGTGACAGCTCGCGTCAGGTGACAGGATTCATTGTGTGTTGTGTAACCCGCACTCAGTCGTGTTGCCGTTGCCTGTGTGGAATCGAGTCTGGACCAGACAAACCACTGATATTATGATAAACGTCCTACGCCGTCAAAGATACGCAATCAACCAAGCAACCGAGGTTGAAACCCCGACCACTTTGTATCAGGCCCCTCTTACAAGCAGCTCACTCTTATCCTCCAGACACCCGTGAAGATCCGGGGAGAGAATAGGTCTTTAGCAACCCATGTTTGCCGTTAAAGGCGACTATACTTGTCGCAAGAGGCGACTCACGGGATCGGGTGGTCAGGATCGCTGACTTGGTTGATGTATGTCATCGTATCCCAACTGCGTAGCTCGATGCCTATGATGTTAGTCACTGGATTGTCTGGTCCAGACTCGATTATTTACAGACGGCCGTCATATAGCTGGAATATTGCTGGGTTCGGCGTTAAACAACAAACAAACAGAACTTGTTCCTCAGTTCCAACCAGGACGTCCACGAACTTACGAGATAATGGTGCGGTTATTTGTGTTTACATCTGGTACTCTCTCAGTTTCTAATCTACCGTCTTCCTCCAGAGTTTGGATTACGACAGATGTTTCAACGAACCTTACGAGCTCCTCCTGAAAAGACAACAGCAAGAGCACGTGAGTGTCACACACGTTAACTCCAGACGAGACGCTGACTGTTATGGTAACGTTTTGATGTATGACTCTGAAGTGATCATTTTATTGATGTTTGTGTTAAAAGGTACAGATCGGAAACAGAATAGAGTATTAATATTGACAGTGGTATGCGTTTATGTTCCTTACGTCAAGACCGCCTCCGTGGACCAGTGGTAGAACGTCCAACAGGAGAGCGGGGGGTCCGGAGTTCGATCCCCGGCCACGTGGGTACTTGCTGTTACCATGCCTGGCGCCCGACATTAAGACTGTGTCTGAGTTGGGTATTCGTGTCAAACTGCGGCATGATATCTCAGTGGGCTAGCACTATAAAATCGGCATTAATACGGACTAGTACAAGAAGCCACACACACACACACACACACACACACACACACACACACACACACACACACACACACACACACACACACACACACACACACACACACACACACACACACACACACACACACACACACACACACACACACACACGTTTAACCCCATTCACCTCTCCTCACCTAACGTCAAACTACCATCTGTTTATCTAAAGCTAGGTGTCCTGTCTCTTGACAATGGTCTGATGTATGAATGTATACATATATGGGCTTATATGGAGTGTTAGTTTCACAGTTGGCAACTACGTCATTAAAATAAAATAAAACATGTGATAAAACAAGATAGAGGGTTATTTTTTTCAGTCCGACAACAAGATTGAGGCTATAAAATGGATTATTACGTTTTTGGTTGGACTTTTGACTGGAATGGTGAGTATGCATTCTCCACATTGCCAGGAATATGGAATAAGATGTATCTCAAATCATCAATTTCCTGTGATCATAGGAATGTATGTGGTTATAAAGCGCAGACATTGCAAGTCGGTGACCCTGACAGAGAAGCTAAGACTGAAACATAGGGAACATATATAATATAGCCTTCCTGGTAGCGATGCGTCTGTGTGTGTCCTGTACGTCATGTCGGTCTCCTGATAGTGTGTCTACTTCTTCTTTCAGGTTGCCCTGTATATAGACAGCATTGTCAAGCTCTTGTCTCACTGGAAGTTCAACACTATCGATGTGTGTATCCTTCACTGAAATGAGGCCGCTGCACGTGCTGTTTATGTGGCTGTGGCCGACGTCTAAGGCTCCGTAATTCTTGGTCGTAGTCCTGCCATGTTCCAGGGTTCGAATACCAACATCGCCATGGGTATCATCATTACTTGCCCGTGGTTTTCACCGCACAATGTAACGTAACACACTGACACATTCATGACATGGAAATATATCCTTGCAAGTTGTTCTCCCATACTGAATGGTCACATTGAGGCTAAGGTCCCCACAGATGAGATTAGAGAACACTTGGGCAGAGAGTCTGCAAGGAGGCTGGCTGTCTGTATTGGTGTATTTTCGTGACCGAACGTCATTATAGAATATATGGTTACACCATACAAACACGTAACACATGACACACAGGCTGACATTGATGAGGTATTCCTCATATCTAATATGTTCCGTACACACACGGTATCTATATTTGTCAGGTAAATTGTGTTTAGAAGTAAGCTGGTCTGTGCAATTTGTTGCTCAAGACTAGGTTAGACCCCAGACCGACAAGTATATCATTGACCGGCCGTTGGATTACCTTTAACGCACATGTTGGCGTGTGGAGCGTTCTGTGCCTTGACATGTCAGCCATACAGAAGTGTTCCAAAGAGGGGTGTCTGGTGGAGTCGCTGCTGTTCCTGCTGATGTTCAATGTGGGCTTTGTCATCATCGCCGCCTGTCTGACCGTGTATGAGGTAGGTGCACCCTCACAGTCACCGTGTACATCCACCCTCACAGTCACCGTGTACATCCACCCTCACAGTCACCGTGTACATCCACCCTCACAGTCACTGTGTACATCCACCCTCACAGTCACCGTGTACATCCACCCTCACAGTCACCGTGTACATCCACCCTCACAGTCACCGTGTACATCCACCCTCACAGTCACCGTGTACATCCACCCTCACAGTCACCGTGTACATCCACCCTCACAGTCACCGTGTACATCCACCCTCACAGTCACCGTGTACATCCACCCTCACAGTCACCGTGTACATCCACCCTCGCAGTCACCCATGTACATCCACCTTCACAGTCACCGTGTACATCCACCCTCACAGTCACCGTGTACATCCGACCTCACAGTCACCCGTGTACATCCACCCTCACATTCACCGTGTACATCCACCCTCACAGTCACCCGTGTACATCCACCCTCACAGCCACTGTGTACATCCACCCTCACAGTCACCGTGTACATCCACCCTCACAGTGACCCGTGTACATCCACCCGCACAGTCACTGTGTACATCCACCCTCACATTCACTGTGTACATCCACCCTCAAAGTCACCCTTGTGCATCCACCCTCACAGTCAGCGTATACATCTACCCTCACATTCACCGTGTACATCCACCCGCACAGTCACTGTGTACATCCACCCTCACAGTCACTGTGTACATCCACCCTCACAGTCACTGTGTACATCCACCCTCACAGTGACCCGTGTACATCCACCCTCACAGTCACCGTGTACATCTACCCTCACAGTCACCCATGTACATCCACCCTCACAGTCACCGTGTACATCCACCCTCACAGTCACCCCCTGTACATCCACCCTCACAGTCACCGTGTACATCCACCCTCACAGTGACCCGTGTACATCCACCCTCACAGTCACCGTGTACATCCACCCTCACAGTCACCCATGTACATCCACCCTCACAGTCACCGTGTACAACCGACCTCACAGTCACTGTGTACATCCACCCTCACAGTCACTGTGTACATCCGCCAACACAGTCACCCTTGTGCATCCACCCCCAAAGTCACCGTGTACATCCACCCTCACAGTCACCCATGTACATCCACCTTCACAGTCACCGTGTACATCCACCATCACAGTCACCGTGTACATCCGACCTCACAGTCACCCGTGTACATCCACCCTCACAGTCACCCGTGTACATCCACCCTCACAGTCACCGTGTACATCCACCCTCACAGTGACCCGTGTACATCCACCCTCACAGTCACCGTGTACATCCACCCTCACAGTCACCCATGTACATCCACCCTCACAGTCACCGTGTACAACCGACCTCACAGTCACTGTGTACATCCACCCTCACAGTCACTGTGTACATCCGCCAACACAGTCACCCTTGTGCATCCACCCCCAAAGTCACCGTGTACATCCACCCTCACAGTCACCCATGTACATCCACCTTCACAGTCACCGTGTACATCCACCATCACAGTCACCGTGTACATCCGACCTCACAGTCACCCGTGTACATCCACCCTCACAGTCACCCGTGTACATCCACCCTCACAGTCACCCGTGTACATCCACCCTCACAGCCACTGTGTACATCCACCTTCACAGTCACTGTGTACATCCACCCTCACAGTCACCGTGTACATCCACCCTCACAGTCACCCCCTGTACATCCACCCTCACAGTCACCGTGTACATCCACCCTCACAGTCACCGTGTACATCCGACCTCACAGTCACCCGTGTAATCCACCCTCACAGTCGCTGTGTACATCCACCCTCACAGTGACTCGTGTACATCCACCCTCACAGTCACCGTGTACATCCACCCTCACAGTCACCCATGTACATCCACCCTCACAGTCACCGTGTACAACCGACCTCACAGTCACTGTGTACATCCACCCTCACAGTCACTGTGTACATCCGCCAACACAGTCACCCTTGTGCATCCACCCTCAAAGTCACCGTGTACATCCACCCTCACAGTCACCGTGTACATCCACCCTCACAGTCACTGTGTACATCCACCCTCACAGTCACTGTGTACATTCACCCTCACAGTTACCCGTGTACATCCGACCTCACAGTCACCGTGTACATCCACCCTCACAGTGACCCGTGTACATCCACCCTCACAGTCACCGTGTACATCCACCCTCACAGTCACCCATGTACATCCACCCTCACAGTCACCGTGTACAACCGACCTCACAGTCACCTGTGTACATCCACCCTCACAGTCACTGTGTACATCCGACCTCACAGTCACTGTGTACATCCACCCTCACAGTTACCCGTGTACATCCGACCTCACAGTCACCGTGTACATCCACCCTCACAGTCACTGTGTACATCCACCCTCACGGTCACCCATGTACATCCACCCTCACAGTCACCGTGTACATCCACCCTCACAGTCACTGTGTACATCCACCCTCACAGTCACTGTGTACATCCACCCTCACGGTCACCCGTGTACATCCACCCTCACGGTCACCCATGTACATCCACCCTCACAGTCACTGTGTACATCCACCCTCACAGTCACCGTGTACATCCACCCTCACAGTCACCCCCTGTACATCCACCCTCACAGTCACCGTGTACATCCACCCTCACAGTCACTGTGTACATCCACCCTCACAGTCACCGTGTACATCCACCCTCACAGTCGCTGTGTACATCCACCCTCACAGTGACTCGTGTACATCCACCCTCACAGTCACCGTGTACATCCACCCTCACAGTCACCCATGTACATCCACCCTCACAGTCACCGTGTACAACCGACCTCACAGTCACTGTGTACATCCACCCTCACAGTCACTGTGTACATCCACCCTCACAGTCACCGTGTACATCCACCCTCACAGTCACCCATGTACATCCACCCTCACAGTCACCGTGTACAACCGACCTCACAGTCACTGTGTACATCCACCCTCACAGTCACTGTGTACATCCGCCAACACAGTCACCCTTGTGCATCCACCCTCAAAGTCACCGTGTACATCCACCCTCACAGTCACCGTGTACATCCACCCTCACAGTCACTGTGTACATCCACCCTCACAGTCACTGTGTACATTCACCCTCACAGTTACCCGTGTACATCCGACCTCACAGTCACCGTGTACATCCACCCTCACAGTGACCCGTGTACATCCACCCTCACAGTCACCGTGTACATCCACCCTCACAGTCACCCATGTACATCCACCCTCACAGTCACCGTGTACAACCGACCTCACAGTCACCTGTGTACATCCACCCTCACAGTCACTGTGTACATCCGACCTCACAGTCACTGTGTACATCCACCCTCACAGTTACCCGTGTACATCCGACCTCACAGTCACCGTGTACATCCACCCTCACAGTCACTGTGTACATCCACCCTCACGGTCACCCATGTACATCCACCCTCACAGTCACCGTGTACATCCACCCTCACAGTCACTGTGTACATCCACCCTCACAGTCACTGTGTACATCCACCCTCACAGTCACCCATGTACATCCACCCTCACAGTCACTGTGTACATCCACCCTCACGGTCACCCATGTACATCCACCGTCACAGTCACTCTTTTCCCACAACGATGTGTCCGACTGATGTTAAGCGCTGTTGTTGATTGTCATTACCCTTAAAATACACTTCTTGAAAGCCCATAACGGTAATTTCCAAATCATCAAAGGAAACATGCAGAGATTTTTACAACACTGCATTATGAACATTATGTTTACAAATGACGCTGAAGCGTGAAGCCGTGCGTCATGTTTTATTTATCGTGTTCACCTTTTTTAGTTGACATGTTTCAAGGCCGTGTTTCTCTGTTCTACTGTACTATTTAGTCGTCACTATGTGCTCTCTTTCCAGAAGACAATAACTGACAGTAATTACTTTTGAAAATTGTCCATTAACAGCCATCTATGCCTCCCTGCTCTGGAGACACACGCCGCTAGAAATATGCACACATTTAGGAGAAGTTAAAGTAGAAGTGAAACGCTACACTTAAATCGTGACATATAATTTTATTACATTTTTCCCGGGAGACGATGTTATAACGACTCACTGACTTAGGTGTATATCGTGTTTATCGTGAAGAGTAAGATGTGATCATGTAAAACAAGATACAGATTATTGTTTAATCTCCGATTTAAAACGCTCGTTCCCGGGATCCAGTACTCTACACAGCTCAAAAGCACTGGGAACTCAGAGACAAATGCACATTATGACATGTACACCTGCCTTCTGTGTTGTTTGTGTTCATTTCTACCTGCAAATGTACGCAGTTGTTGATCACTTGATACACCAATGTATAGATACACTGAATCTGTACCCTAACTATTGCAAGATACAGGGGACACAGATGTCCTACACTGTAAAATGTGTTTACAATATATGCAAATACAAGACATGTTTAGTGATGTTTAGGAATGTGTTTAAATCCCAAACGGAATACATGTTTTGTATGACTGTTCTATCTAAACACAGTTTGTGACATCAGTTGTCTGACAGTCTGAACACCACTTTAAACACAACATCCGCTTTATCTTAATATGTTTAGAATGTAAACTTATGAGACAAAGATTACACTAAGCTCTAAACATGTTTAAACACTAAACATAATTCATTAGGAGTGTATTATTAATTGTATTTAAACATGTTAAAATTCAAAACATGTTTAGGTTATGGGGATGTTGTGTGTACAAACGTGCCCATTGCAGGAGGGGGGTGGGGTGGGTGGGGGTAATCTAGTACCCCAGAGATCAAATGCTGTCTGACTGTTTCAGCCCGTCGCCGGGGGGTCTGGTATACCTGAGATCAAGTGTTATCTGAATGGCATCAAGGTCCCGCGTGTCGCAAGGTTCGCCACACTTCTCGCCAAGTCCATTGGAGTCCTCTTCAGTGTAGCAGGAGGTACGTTCCACCCGTCTAGTCCAATACCAGTACCTCGCGGTGTGAGATTTGTCACAGACGCAGACAGACGGAATACGCACGTAGACCGTGATATACAACGAACCCTCATAGTTCAACATACATAAGTTACGAAAGAACGACTCGAAACAGTCACTGACCAGTGATGTTTCCTGATTCTATCGGTGTCTTCTTCCAGGTTTGTTTGTTGGCAAAGAAGGACCGATGATCCATAGTGGCGCCATCATAGGAGCTGGCGTTCCACAGGTAGGTCAACCCCGCTGACACGCACTGGAGTGGTCTTTGTTTCAGACATTACAGCCGCATTACTTCTTGTCAAATCGAAATGAACAAAAACATTGAAACTGCAAGTAAATAATAACCACGTCAAGATTACTTCTCCACAAATTAGATCCCAGACAGTAACTAATGTATCAATTTTGATGTATAACTGTTTAGACACATCGGTCGACTGAACTATCGACGTGTGTCTTAAGGCGGGGAGCCGCTGCCGATGTGTGTTCAGTGTACGTGTTTAACGTGTTTGTTGGGATCTGACGTTTGTGTTCCAATATGCAATGTTCATTAAATCTTTAGAACTTAATATGAATTTTAATTAAGTTTTAACGTTCCTGCGACATTACTTGGGTTCTGTTCCTCTGATGGAGTGGCTAATCGACGACCTAGTTTTTCTGTTTCGCGGACGCCACATGGGTCTGCTATTGTTGAATCCTATACGACACTGTTACTACCTGAGCGAAAGCATCTATTCATATTCTGCCCTTGATAAAATAAACCACATTCATTCCTTCATTTAATAAGTCCAGGTACAGAAATAGTTTACACAAAAACCCATCAAGACCGTTTTAACTACAGATTTTGTATGGGAGATGGGGCTATGAATCCATGCAGCGATGCGAGAAAACGATTGACTAATGCGATGAAACGATGAAGCTATGCAATAAAACGATGAATCGATGTGATTAAATGATAGAGCAATACGATGAAACGATGAAGCTATGCAATGAAACGATGAATCGATGCGATTAAATGATATAGCATACGATGAAACGATGAAGCTATGCAATGAAACGATGAATCGATGTGATTAAATGATATAGCATACGATGAAACGATGAAGCTATGCAATAAAACGATGAATCGATGCGATTAAATGATAGAGAAATACGATGAAACGATGGAACAATGCGATGAAACTATGAAGCGATGCGGTGGAGCGATGATGCAAAATGATGGTGCGTTAACGCGATACGACGGGGCGATGCAATGGAACGATGAAGCGATGACTCCGTATGCTTTTTTTAATGAAAAGTGGTTTGGAAAGGGAGGTGACAGCAAATTCTCTCGACAGTATGACAGATAAGAAGACATTTTCTGCTTCCGAGTTATTGCTGAAATTCCGCCTAAAACGTTTTTCGTTCGTAATATATTAAGTCACGGAACACATTTTGTTCTATGATGTATTGAGGTATTGTACATTACGCGAGTGGCATAACTACCAGGTATCACAAAAAGCGAGTGCTTACACTTCGAAATCGTCACAAACATAAAATAAAATAAATAATTAAAAAGATGTACTTTGGTGTGGTCTTCTTTCAGTCGTTTGTTATAGTTACATGATCTTTTGTTAATTTACAGGTTGATCCGCCTCCCAGTGACACAAGTGTCGTTGATGAGTTGGCTTGATGTTGTTGTTTGCTTGTTACATTTCCTTTACCCATTTCGCGAACACCTGGTGTCATAACTGATTTTCAGTGGTCTATTCATTTAATTTTCACAGCTGGTTTACCTTTTACGCCAAATGTAATTTGTTCCTGTGGTTATTATTCATTTAATTTAATGAGGATATCTTGGTTTGATCACAAAAATCAAACTGTTTTATACTTAAAATGTGTTATGTACAGAACGTGGTGAGGACATTGCGTGATATCTCTGTTTTAGATATGCTACACGGGCCTGCTTGGGCTCGTGTTTGAAGCGTTATGAGAGTTCAAGAAAAATAAGTACTGCAATATGACTGCTTACATTTTATTTTCCCCAAGCTAAGCCCCTGAATGCCAACGTTCAAGCAGATGCCGATAATACTCTACGCTAGTGTCATGATAACCGAAATAACCCAAACTACTGTTCTCCACTGTAACCATATCATTCACGCCTTGCACACATGTATGTAAGATACTCTGAAAATAATCATTGGCTTGTAGTAATTTTAACAATCGGTCATATTTGAATTACTTATTTATCATTATTAAGTTGCATAGTTAGCAAACGTCCCCTGGTACACCGATTCCTGATAGTTTGAGTGAAGAGGTTGGGTGTAGCACTGCTCTGTACATTGGGTGGGGAAACACTGCTCTGTATATTGGCTGGTGTAGCACTGCTCTGTTAATTTGGTAGGGTAACACTGCTCTGTATATTGGCTGGTGTAGCACTGCTCTGTATATGGGTGGGGTAACACTGCTCTGTATATTGGCTGGTGTAGGACTGCTCTGTATATTTGGTGGTGTAACACTGCTCTGTATATTGGCTGGTGTAGCACTGCTCTGTATATTTGGTGGGGTAACACTGCTCTGTATATTGGCTGGTGTATCACTGCTCTGTATATGGGTGGGGTAACACTGCTCTGTATATTGGCTGGTGTAGCACTGCTCTGTATATTTGGTGGTGTAACACTGCTCTGTATATTGGCTGGTGTATCACTGCTCTGTATATGGGTGGGGTAACACTGCTCTGAATAATGGGTGGGGTAACACTGCTCTGTATATTGGCTGGTGTAGCACTGCTCTGTTTAAGGGTGGAGTAACACTGCTCTGAATAATTGGTGGGGTAACACTGCTCTGAATAATGGGTGGGGTAACACTGCTCTGTATATTTGCTGGTGTAGCACTGCTCTGTATATTGGCTGGGGTAACACTGCTCTGTATATTGGGTGGGGTAACACTGCTCTGTATATTGGGTGGGGTAACACTGCTCTGAATATTGGCTGGTGTAGCACTGCTCTGTATATTTGCTGGTGTAGCACTGCTCTGTATATTGGGTGGGGTAACACTGCTCTGTATATTGGGTGGGGTAACACTGCTCTGTATATTGGCTGGGGTAATACTGCTCTGTATATTAGGTGGGGTAACACTCGTCTGTATATTGGCTGGTGTAGCACTGCTCTGTATATTGGGTGGGGTAACACTACTCTGTATATTGGGTGGGGTAACACTGCTCTGTATATTGGGTGGGGTAACACTGCTCTGTATATTGGGTGGGGTAACACTGCTCTGTATATTGGGTAGGGTAACACTGCTCTGAATATTGGGTGGGGTAACACTGCTCTGTATATTGGGTGGGGTAGCACTGCCCTGTATATTGGGTGGGGTAACACTGCTCTGAATATTGGGTGGTGTAGCACTGCTCTGTATATTGGCTAGGGTAACACTACTCTGTATATTGGCTGGTGTAGCACTGCTCTGTATATTGGGTGGGGTAACACTGCTCTGTATATTGGATGGTGTACCACTGCTCTGTATATTTGGTGGGGTAACACTGCTCTGTATATTGGCTGGTGAAACACTGCTCTGTATATTTGGTGGGGTAACATTGCTCTGTACATTGGCTTGGGTAACACTGCTCTGTATATTGGGTGGGGTAGCACTGCCCTGTATATTGGGTGGGGTAACACTGCTCTGTTTATTGGCTGGTGTAGCACTGCTCTGTACATTGGGTGGGGTAACACTGCTCTGTATATTGGCTGGTGTAACACTGCTCTGTTTATTGGCTGGGGTAACATTGCTCTGTATATTGGCTAGGGTAACCCTGCTCTGTATATTGCTTGTGGTAACACGAATCTGTATATTTGGTGGGGGAACCCTGCTCTGTATATAGGGTGGGATAAAAATGCTCTGAATATTGGGTGGGGTAACACTGCTTTGTGTATTGCCTGGGGTAACACCTCTCTGTATATTGGCGGGTGTAACACTGCTCTGTATATTGGCTGGGGTAACACTGCTCTTTATATTGGATGGGTGTAACACTGCTCTGTATATTGGTTGGGGTAACACTGCTGTGTATATTGCGTGGGGTAACACTGCATTGTATATTGGGTAGGGTAACACTACTCTGTATATTGGCTGGGGTAACACCTCTCTGTATATTTGCTGGGGTAATGCTGCTCTGTTTATTGGCTGGGGTAACACTGCTCTTTATATTGGGTGGGTGTAACACTGCTCTTTATATTGGTTGGGGTAACACTGCTCTGTATATTGGCTGGTGTAACACTGCTGTGTATATTGGCTGGGGTAACACTGCTCTGTATATTGGCTGGGGAAAAACTGCTCTGTATTTTGGGTGGGGTAACACTGCTCTGTATATTGGCTGGGGAAAGACTGCTCTGTATATTGGCTGGGGTAACACTGCCCTGTATATAGGGTGGGATAAAAATGCTCTGAATATTGGGTGGGGTAACACTGCTTTGTGTATTGCCTGGGGTAACACCTCTCTGTATATTGGCTGGTGTAACACTGCTCTGTATATTGGCTGGGGTAACACTGCTCTTTATATTGGATGGGTGTAACACTGCTCTGTATATTGGTTGGGGTAACACTGCTGTGTATATTGCGTGGGGTAACACTGCATTGTATATTGGGTAGGGTAACACTACTCTGTATATTGGCTGGGGTAACACCTCTCTGTATATTTGCTGGGGTAATGCTGCTCTGTTTATTGGCTGGGGTAACACTGCTCTTTATATTGGGTGGGTGTAACACTGCTCTTTATATTGGTTGGGGTAACACTGCTCTGTATATTGGCTGGTGTAACACTGCTGTGTATATTGGCTGGGGTAACACTGCTCTGTATATTGGCTGGGGAAAAACTGCTCTGTATTTTGGGTGGGGTAACACTGCTCTGTATATTGGCTGGGGAAAGACTGCTCTGTATATTGGCTGGGGTAACACTGCCCTGTATATTGGGTAAAATAACCCTGCTCTGTATATGGAGTGGGGTAACACTGCTCTGTATATTGGGTGGGGTAACACTGCTCTGTATATTGGGTAGGGTAACACTGCTCTGAATATTGGGTGGTGTAACACTGCTCTGTTTATTGGCTGGGGTAACACTGCTCTGTATATTGGGTGGGGTAACACTGCTCTGTATATTGGGTGGGGTAACACTGCTCTGTATATTGGCTGGTGTAGCACTGCTCTGTATATTGGGTGGGGTAACACTGCTCTGTGTATTGGCTGGTGTAGCACTGCTCTGTATATTTGGTGGGGTAACACTGCTCTTTATATTGGCTGGGGTAACATTGCTCTGTATATTGGGTGGGGTAGCACTGCCCTGTATATTGGTTGGGGTAACAATGCTCTGTTTATTGGCTGGTGTAGCACTGCTCTGTACATTGGGTGGGGTAACACTGCTCTGTATATTGGCTGGTGTAACACTGCTCTGTTTATTGGCTGGGGTAACACTGCTCTGTATATTGGCTAGGGTAACCCTGCTCTGTATATTGGTTGTGGTAACACGAATCTGTATATTTGGTGGGGGAACACTGCTCTGTATATAGGGTGGGATAAAAATGCTCTGAATATTGGGTGGGGTAACACTGCCTTGTGTATTGCCTGGGGTAACACCTCTCTGTATATTTGCTGGTGTAACACTGCTGTGTATATTGGGTGGGGTAACACTGCATTGTATATTGGGTAGGGTAACACTACTCTGTATATTGGCTTGGGTAATACCTCTCTGTATATTGGCTGGGGTAATGCTGCTCTGTATATTGGCTGGGGTAACACTGCTCCTTATATTGGGTGGGTGTAACATTGCTCTGTATATTGGGTGGGTGTTACACTGCTCTGTATATTGGTTGGGGTAACACTGCTGTGTATATTGGCTGGGGTAACACTGCATTGTATATTGGGTAGGGTAACACTACTCTGTATATTGGCTTGGGTAACACCTCTCTGTATATTGGCTGGGGTAATGCTGCTCTGTATATTGGCTGGGGTAACACTGCTCCTTATATTGGGTGGGTGTAACACTGCTCTGTATATTGGGTGGGTGTAACACTGCTCTGTATATTGGGTGGGGTAACACTGCTCTGTATATTGGCTGGGGTAACACTGCTGTGTATATTGGCTGGGGTAACACTGCTCTGTATATTGGGTGGGGTAACACTGCTCTTTATAATGTCTTGGGTAACACTGCTCTGTATTTTAGGTGGAGTAACCCTGCTCTGTATATTGGCTGGTGTAACACTGCTGTGTATATTGGCTGGGGTAACACTGCTCTGTATATTGGCTTGGGTAATGCTGCTCTGTATATTGGGTGGGATAACACTGCTCTTTATATTGGGTTGGTGTAACACTGCTCTGTATATTGGCTGGGGTAACACTGCTCTTTATATTGGTTGGGTGTAACACTGCTCTGTATATTGGTTGGGGTAACACTGCTCTTTAAAATGGCTGGGGTAACACTGCTCTGTATATTGGGTGGGGTTACACTGCTCTTTATAATGTCTTGGGTAACACTGCTCTGTATATTGGCTGGGGAACAATGCTCTGTATATTGGCGGGGGTAACACTGCTCTGAATATTGGGTGGTGTAGCACTGCTCTGAATATTGGGTGAGGTAAAACTGCTCTGAATATTGGGTGGTGAAGCACTGCTCTGTATATTGGGTGGGGTAACACTGCTCTGAAT